CTGCTCTTCTTGTCGCCTGGCCTTTTTGAACATGTCCTTGGACCTGGCTTTGCGAACCCTTTCCTTTGCCCTTTCGGCTTTAACGCGCTCTTTGTCGTCCATCTTTTGCAGTTGGTACACTTGATCGATTTGATCTTCAATTTTTTCAGACACCTCACGCTGCTGATTTAGGCCAGTCATGTAGTCATCGTAAGCTTTTGATCGTTGTGACTTGTATGTCTCCAGACTGTCTTCAATAACAACTCCACGTTTCTTATCCAAAGTCTTGCCGTATGCGTCGAGAAGCTTGAGACGGCTTTCTGCGCTGGCGACGGTTTCATCTGCCCGTCGGCGCGCATCCTCCAGCTGTGTCAGCTCTTCCTTGGCTGCTTTCAACTCAGGGCCTTCTTTCCACCGTCTGTCGTCTAGATCGTCGTCATCTGATTCATCTGAATCATCGCTGTCTGGCTCAGGATAGACTTCTTCAAAGATTTCTCGGTTGGGGAGTTGTTCTACTGAGACGTCACTGATGGTGAAGCCTGCCCTGCCCTCGACCTTGACTGAGTCTTCATCTACAGTGGGGCTGAGTCCAAAGATGGTGATTTCATTCGTGCCGGACTGTGGGTGATGTTAGTCAGGAATCATGAATGAGATTGCTGTGACACTTGCCTTGAGATTCACGCTCTTAATGTCCCGCTGGATCTGGGCCCTGGTAGGGAAAAGGGTTACGGAGCGCGTACCGAGGTCTCGGAGTTTGTACTCAATCTTGTGGATGGGGTCCATGATGAAGAACCGATGGTGCCAGTATGGTTTGTTGATTTGCTGGCGCAATAACCAGGTGAAAGCTGTTGCTGTTTGGCTCACAATTGAGCGGCAGGTATGAAAATTGGGCAGCAGAATTCGCTTCAACAAGCTGTTGACGGTTGGGCTGGGTACAGAATCGTTACGATTGTCGAGGGGCGCATAAAGTAAGATGAAGTAGACGGCATGAGGGGAAGAGCGCCATGTTATATACGGCAGAGGATGTATGTATAAAGGCTAGCAGATGCTCAGCCCCGAGTTTTGGTTTGATCCCAGACGATGGGATGGATGGTCCGTGTCGCCACTCGCCAGTACCCTTGTCGGAGTTTGCAGGCATCCAACTAGGCAGCGTCCCAGGCAGAATAGACAACACAAGGAAGCCAATAGAACAACAGCGGAATAACGGGACCATTCGTCAGCGAGGAGATAGGTTGCCAAACATAGAATGACGGATGTAAAGTGGAGGCAGACAAGATGTAGGCTGCAAGCTGAGAATGGGCTGCCTCTGGGGCGTCTGCAGGTGGACAATTCACGCCTGGCCTGAACATTGAATGGTTGGCTATTAGTGGAGCAGACGGCTCTCCAAAAGTTTGGCGTCGGAAGGTGCAACATTGAATGCAACATGCTCCTTTCCCGTTTGACAGATCGACTGGATCGGATCAATGATGCCTGCCAAAGTCATAGCAGTCAGCTTAAGTAATAATCCCAACCCTTCAATGTTGCTCCTTTGCGGGTAAACATTTGAACGTCAAGAGTCCCGCAGTGGTGGGAGTGACTGTATTTCAAAGCAAAGAGCAAGATCGTTGCACTTGAAAATACCCAAAAGTATAAATAGCTCTCTGCGATGAGGAATCAGGGTCATCTAGTGCATGATGTTATTATTTCTTCTAAACTAATTGCTTAGTGTCTTTCTTAATCTTCGCACCCCCTTGCTTTATCTTCTTTTCCCCCCGCATCACGCGCCGCCTTATGTAAGAGGTGATGATGGGAGAGAGATGAGAATAGACTCGTGGAATTCAACGAGACCTCGTTAATAGTACATGCTTTATGCGGCCATTTTGAGTTCATAAGATGAGTCACTGGTATTTGACGTAATAAGTGGCTGAGGCTATCGCAAGATGGCCTTTACCGGCGCGTGGTGATAAATCACCACCTTGGCTAGTGTGTTAAAACCCGTTTATAGGTAAGTAACCCTGACGGGTACTATAGAGCTTTTACACCCTAGATAGAATCAAGCTACACATGTAAAGACTGACATTGAGGACTCTTGAATCGTGTTACCTGAGCGGAATCTGCGCCACATGGACGTAGACTATCCGCCGCACTCCCTTTGATCTTCGCAGCCTCGATATACACATCGGTGAGTCATCAGGGTTTTGGCCTATCGGGGTGGTTGTTTTGCAGGCTTTTGCACGTGCAAACAAGGGCCGGAAAATATACTAATGCCTTCAATGTTCCGGGCCATGCTCGACCTTGGCAGAGAGGCAGTTCCATCAGCTGCGGCCAATAGTGTCACACGGCACTGTGGCTTTGCTCTCGGCATCTGCCAGCACCTGTCACTCCATGTGGTTTACGGAGTAATCATCCATGCATGTGTCCATGTCCATGTCACCCCAGAATGACGCCCAGAATGACGCCCGGAGTGATGCCCAGCATGGCGCCCACTTTACCAGCCCCCCAATCAAATCATCGCCTAAAAGCTGGCAGTTGAACCGCAAGTGCTCATCCATAATTATCAATCTTGGATGCCGCTCCCCTTGACTATCATCGAGGAGCCTTGCAGCTTCTTCGTCTTGCCCCAACAATGGCATCTCCAAGCTCCCAACCGCCCATGCGGCCCATAGACCCCCAACCGATGCCATCGCCATCTAATGCTCCGTACTTCCCGCCTCCTCATGCCGGACTACACGGTCCTCCGGGCCCTCCTCCGCCAGGGCCAGGTCAGGGCTTCGCCTTGCAACTCGGGCCCGACTCCCAGATGCCAGATCATCCCGGAAGCACAATGGACATCCCGACCGTGCCAGGGCATACCTTGACTCCCATGGCCCCTCCCGTACCGTTGGATATTCGCAACGTCAAGGCCAGCGCGCGGTTTCACCTCCGTGAGTTCCTACGTGTCCGGAGCCAGCTACAAGAAGGTGGCGGCGCAGCGAGATTCGAGCTTGAATCCCGCCTCAGGAGCCAGGTTGGTCTGGCACTGGGCGACCTGAGCACCTTGCAAGCCGAAGTGAGAGCTCTCGCCAAAGCTGCTGAGAATCATCGGTGGAGAAGATTCCTTGTCGGGGGTGCAATGTAAGTCATCGAGTCCAAGCTGCCAGCCTAGCACGACGCTTGAATTTTGCCTCGGTTCCAGTTCTAATGCCAACCCAGCGCGGCATTCATCCCCGCCGTCCGCAAAATCTTCCGCCGCAACTCGGATGAAGATTCACGGCTTTCGTCCAACGACACCGAGTACGCCTTTCGCAAATCCAAGGGCTTACTGTCCGGGATGAAGAGTGCCATTCTGGGCGGAGGCATGCTTGCCAAGGTGGCGTTTTTCGTCTTTGCCATTTTGTATGTGTTTCAGAATGAGGTGACCATCAGAGTGGCCAAGACCTTGAACAAGAGGTTGAGGGAGTTGACCGAGAGGGTCGAAGGGGGAGATCCCGACTTCAATGAAAGTGATTTGAGGACGTTTGACGGGTGGCGATGGAGGGTGCTGTTGTGGTGATGTATAGTCTTTTAGAAACTCTCTAGTAGTAAGGGAAGCCATCATCCTTTGCTCGAATATGCGCCCAATTAACAGGCGCAAACGCTGAGAGTCTCAATATCCGAGTCTTCCGGTTCATGTGAGCGGCAATTGAGTGCATTAATGGTAGCTTGGCACCGCAGCGTGATGCATCGACAAGTCTACTCCGTCAGACTATCAATGGCAGCCGGCAAGATGTATTCAGATATCAGGAGTGGCCAGATAGAGATGCCCTTCTTGGTTGAAGATGACATCGCTCAAACACACTGGCCTAGTGGTTGAGTCAATACTGCACCATCATGATAGCAGCGGATTTTTGGCTCGGCTATCCTCCTCAGAGGGAGAATGGCTCACCGCATTGGAAACAAATCATAGAGGTCTCTTCCGACTCGTGCTTAGTTCCAGACCTGTTGAAACTTTGCAGCTGTTAACCCAAGGGCTCGCCTACTAAGTGTGGTCGAAGCCAAAAAATGGAGGGCTGTGCTCGAATCTCGCGGAACGCTCCTTCCGCACCACAAAGTTACAAGCTCAACTACATTCAAGACTCAATATCCATTTGGCGGTTTGTCAGGCGGGCCTTGTTTGCATCTTGCACAGCTCCGCACAGACACTGCCGAAGAATGAAGAGAGTATATCCCAACAAGATGATGGGAACGACTTCCAGCAGACCGTCGTCATGTACATTCTGATGGGAAAATGTCTCTGGGTGACAAGTTTTGGCATGGGACCATCCAACCCATAGCAGCACTTGTCAGCTGTACGCAGCCGCAGCCGCCCCACTTGACACCCTCCACGACACCAAACTGCTATCAATCAACTTCAACGTTTGAACCGCTAAACTCCAATCGCCGACTCAAAATTCTACTAGGGTCTGGTGCATCGCGCATCCAACTGCTTGCTGGGCAACTGGCTGGACAACTGGCGGTGATGTAAAGCGTATAGTCCGAAACAAGCGTAATCGAGGTCCATGCAGTACAGACGAAAAGCCTCTTCGGAGGCTGATACGAGTGTGAAAGAACAAGCCGATGGGAGCTTAGTGAAAGCGCCAGCCAAGAAGACCATCACCACGCCATCCAGCAGAAATGCGATAGATCGGCATTTTCGAGAGCTTTATTCCACACCGCCCGACTTTAAAGAGCTATCTCGTTTGGATCCCGAGTTTGCTGCCGTGTTTGTCGCCCACTTCCAACATTGCTTCGACCGTGTGGCAAGGCTGATTTGTTGCGCAGTGCTAAAGGGCGAGATGTGGACTTTCGGAACCCAAAGTCGGTTATGCAACTAACCAAAACACTTCTCAAGTTAGATTTTGGTATCAAACTAGAGCTTCCAGACGATAGATTATGTCCGCCAGTGAGTCCCAAGTTGCCCTTCCCTCAACCGGTCTGCACACTCACCAAAACGCCAGGTGCCAAACCGCCACAGTTACATCCTTTGGCTGAAGGATTTACTCGACACATCTTCTTATAATGAGCCTGGACGGAAGCTTACCGGAATGGACATCGGCACCGGCGCCAGTTGTATCTATCCCTTGTTAGGATGTGCTCAGCGGCCATGGTCCTTCATTGCAACAGGCACGTCCGAATCCTTATTATCTATGCCATACCTGGACCTTGCTCATGCTTTAGCAGACATTGACCCTGAAAGTCTAAAATGTGCAAAGAGGAATGTCGAAATTAATGACCTATCAAGTCGCGTCAATGTAGTTGCCCGCTCTACAGGCAGCTCACTTATCCCGCTGGACGAACTGGCACTAGATTCCATCGATTTCACCATGACCAACCCCCCCTTCTACAGGTCAGAAGAGGAATTGCTCAGCAGCGCGAAAAGGAAACAGAGACCGCCGTACACTGCATGCACGGGCAGCAAAGCCGAAATGGTCACACCCGGCGGAGAGTTGGCCTTTGTCGTTTGCATTCTCAAAGAATCCTGTGTTCTGCGGGCACGAATACAGTGGTACTCGGCTATGTTTGGGTTTCTCTCCAACCTTGTAGATTTTATCGAGCAGCTGCGGTCATCCGGGATTGAAAACTATGCAGTCACAGAGTTCGTGCAAGGGAACAAAACCCGGAGATGGGCTATTGCATGGTCTTTTCAGCCAATGCGTCCAGCGCAGCATGTCGCGCGGGGCACGAGATCTGCGCTATCGAAGAACATTCTTCCTTGTGTGACGGAGGCGGAAGTGATGTCAGTTGAGATACCTGAGAGCATTGGGGAGTTTGCCTCCAAAATCACTGCCGCTATTGAGTCCCTGGACTTGATATCTTGGGACTGGGACACACAAGCATATGAAGGAACTGGCCGCGCGGTCGATAAAGTATGGGCGAGGCCATGGCGCAGACGGAAGAAGAGAGAACAGCAAACCCCCGACGAGAGGACAGAGAGTTCGATTTCGAAAAGCGACCCAAGGTGTATTTTTGGCTTCAAGGTGTGGATTCGTGTATCAATGAAAGAGGTATTGGTGGGATGTCGCTGGACGGAAGGGTTTGACGCGAAAGCGTTTGAGAGTTTTCAGGGTTTTCTACAGTCGACGGCCGCAGCCGCCGCAAATGTAAAATAACCTACACCCGTACGAGCCAGACGCTCAACGAGAAGGAAACATCTCCAAGACTCTTCCGCCTGCGAACGTGCCCTGCAAAGGATAAACACATTCACCATGAATAACTCTACTCAGCCCCCAGGCTTACCATAGCCCGACGATGAAGGAACATACATGACCAACCCACAGGGGAATGCTTTCACAAATTCTCTGTTTTGTGTCCATCTATGCTGTCTACTTTGCAAGTACGAAGTACGTCTAATCCTCACTTGGATCCATTCACCACGGATCCCCTCGGCAAATGCCTGTCATAACCCGCCCTCACCAGCCTCTCCATGGCCGCCCACACATCATCCGGAATGACCTGCTCAACCTGGAACCCCAGCGCGGGATAATCCCGAATCCTCACCAGGTCCCCGACCATGATGCTGATAACCAGGTCCCTCGGGTTATCCGCGTCCGGGTACTCCTCAAACGTAAACTGCGGCGACGTGACGGCGAAGCTCGTCTCCCCAGGCCACTGCTTCCTAAACGTGGCGTACGTCCGGCGCTCCATGTACGGCTTCTGCACCAGGATGAGCGACTCGGGGCGGAGGCCCATCCCCTGCAGCAGGGCGTGTGTGAAGCGCACATTCTCCCCCGTGTTGGTCGCCCTCGGCTCCACGACCACCCTGTCGCCGGGCACGCCCATGGCGCGGGCGACGTCGGCAAAGGTCTCTGCCTCGGTCTTGGCGAAGCGTCCCGCGGTGAGCTGCCCCGAGGCGCCGGAGAAGATGAGCATCGGGGCCAGGCCGTCGAGGTAGAGCTGGGCGGCGCGCCGGGCGACGCGCGTGTCGAGGCTGCAGAGGCAGAAGATGGCGTCGGCGGGGCGGATGGGCATTCGCAGTTGGTGGTAGTTGTAGATGAGCTCGGCGTCTCGTTGGATCTGGGCTGAGTCGGTCATGTTTACGGCCCCTTATTTTTGGGTTGATTTGATTTCCTTGCCGTTTTTCCCGGGTGATTTTGTCACTTGCATGCGCAGAGGTGCGTTATTTTCCTTTGCAGGAGCGAAATACGAGCTGAGCTGTCAACTTATTATCCGACTCCTGTCAGGGTTTACTAAGCCCTCACTATCATGTCTAATGTTTACGTAGTTGCTGGTGTTGATATCCATGAATTTGCTACTACTCAAAATCTTCATATTTAAAAAATTATGGACCAAGAGGGAAATTCCCAACACAGAGAAAACAGTTATACCGTCATGCCGGAGTGCCCCCCATCAGGATCCAAGACGTAACATCTCCCCTTCCCCCGATATGACACTGGGAAAGGGTCGCCGATCCGGAGGTAAAAACACCTCCTTGGCCTCGCTGCTGTTCAGAATCATCTCGGAGTAGTACATCAGAGGCAGGCCTTCATAGGCTAAGTGAGGATTGGAGTTCATAAAACTGTCAAACGACGACTGTTCCGCAGTTTGCTCGACAGCAGCCAGAACCTGCTGAATCCAAAACATCTTGCAGGTAAGCCCCTCTGCCGATGGCCCCGAAACTCCCAGCGCTTTGTTGACGGCTTCGGCAAGACCGCTTCGTCTTTTCGAAGTGGCCGTTGGCCTGTCATCCGGTCCAGCCCGGGCGCCGAGGTTGGCCACCAAGGTATCGTAAAGAAACACAATGAGCTCCGGGTGACTCCTGACCACGCCATCTACCGCGTCTGTATCAGACAAGGCGGCCGCATCACACACGGCAGCTACCATCACCGCAAGACTCTCTAAGGGAGGCATGCGCGGTGTTGTGGCAACACCCAGCCCGGCCTTGGACGCCATGTGCAGTTTCGCACGGCTGTTGCTCGCCTGTGGCGGGATGGAGATGAGCCCAGGTAGCGGCGCTTGATCCGGGTTGACAAAGGCAATGCGGGCCTGCATACTATCCCATAGAGTCGGGGAATAATACCTTTTCCACTCGTCACCAGAAATGTCGAAAAGGGACTTGAACGCCGTCAGGGTAAGACTTGTCATGGACCCGTGCCATCCTGCAGTGCGGTTTAATCCATCCCCCGGCGACGATTGAAGAGAGGCAAGCGCTGCATGAACGTACTGGATCCAGAAGTAAGCCTGGGTCTCGGAATACGGGCCAATGTTTGACATGGAAGCCCTCTTTTGCATGATGGATGTCTGCAAAGCACTCAGAGCATGCTTGATGACAGCACCTCGACGGAGTCTTGTTCCCGATGTGCTCTGAATGACTGTCAGGGCAAAGCGAATTAAATGGTCGCTATCCGCGTGTGGGATATCGCCCGGCGACGATTCATGTTGGACGGGCTGTGCGATGGATGGGAGTGGTGACTTGTCCGGCAACACCCAGTTCGCTCGAGCGTTGGGCGTAAACATCAAGTCTTTGGAGTAGTGTACTTTCCACAAGCTGGCATCTATAAGCTGCGGCGTATGAAGTAGGATTTGGGGGAAATCGTCGCGACATGTGAGGCCACGCAAGTGCTTGAGGTGTGCGTATCTGATGGTAGCTACTTGAAGTTGGAAGAGCCAGAATATCGTCATTGTCCTATATTTCGTCAGTCAAGGAAGTTTCGGGTGCTTTTTGTTTTATGAAAGCATCATACCGGTGGGTGGTGTTGCGGAATCTCTCGGGTCTCTTGGATCTCAACATGTCTACATGGTCCATGAACATGTCTGCGCATTTCATCACAGTGTTTCCGCAAGCCATGCCCTCCAGAAGCACAAAATACCCAGCTCGCAAATGATTGTAGTGGTCCCAAACGGGTAAATCAGCAGCAAGGAAGCCTTGCCAGAAGTCATCAGCGGATGATGTGTTCCTCTTGGCATTTTCATTGATGCGCTCTTTCAAATCCGTCTCACCCACATGGCTGCTCAGTGGCTTGTCGTCATTTTCCAATGGTTTTGGAGACTTGTCCCCTTGTATAGCGTCCGCTACTTGATCAAGCAAGGCAGCGGCATGGCCATGTTCAAAAGCATTGAAACCCGGTGGACCAAGGATGCGTACCCTTTCTGACTCTACACTCCTGGATAGCCCCTTTTCCAGTTTTGTTCTGATCTGTTTGAGAGCTTCATCGCGTTCATTTGGTGGCAAAAGATCCTGCTTGTTGAGGACAACCCACAAGTTCTTTTTACCATGTTCGTTGTCCAATTCATTAAGAAGACTTTGTATCTCGGGGACGACCTCGTCAAATCTGCAGGTGTCTGCGCAGTCTACGATGAAGAAGAAGACGTCCGTATTTTGGAAGTAGTGCCGATACAGAGGACGCATTTTGTCACAACCTAGCTCACAGTGTTAGCTGCAGCTTTTCCGTATGCCTCAATTGTGATGGATTTTGTGACAAATCATCAAACGAAATGTTGACGCAAGGTCTCTTGGGTCATAGCGATACATGCCTCCAACATCCCACAACGTAAACTTGTGGCCCTTTGTGCTCTCCACTGTTTCGACATTGAATCCAATGGTAGGGATCGTCGTGATCTTCTCATTAGGTAGCTTCAGCTGGTAAAGTAGCGTAGTCTTGCCGGCAGCGTCGAAGCCCATTATGAGGCCACGATACTCCGGATTCTTCCCGAAGAGCCACGATGCAAGCTCTTTTAATCCCGTCAGTGTCGGTGGTATCATGTTGACGGATGAACAGGCAACTTACTCATGGCGGGCTGCCAAGTTATAGTGATGCAGCGGCGCTATATAAGTAGCGATGAACGGCTCATGGTTCCTCAAAGGAGGCCATTGAACACATTCCGCTTGATATAGGAGTTTCTCTCGTGAAACCGTGGCATGAAGTCGAGATGAAAGCTGGCCAGATGCTAGATTTATCTCGCAGCCTGCAGGTACCCACGATATTGGGCAAGGTGGACACGAGAGGCGCTGGATGCCTGTCAACTTGTCGAGATAATGTGACATGGGCTCTCGATGCGAGGCTGAGTCGACTCAGCCGCAGGCCAGGCTCTCTGAATCTCATAGGCATCACCGTTTTGCAAGAAGGCGGGTGAATGAAGATGAAAGTGGACGGCGGACGCCATCAAGGCAGCAGCCACGAATGTGTCTACTTGGTGTTTACGCATGCTGGCCAGCAGGGTGAGCGATGAAGCAAAGCAGGTAGCCTCAGCCAAAACATACACGAGACAATTGCAAAATACACTGCCCAAGGCCGAGAAACACCATCGTCGGACTGCCGCCCTCCGAAAAGGTGTGATGCAGAAGTGGGCGACTGTCACCCCGCAGACACGGCGCGAGGGGAGCTCGCTGCATCATTCACGAGCTACACATCTATTGGCTCTTGGCTTTTTCAATCACCTTGCACGGCACAATTTCAATTACATCCAGAGAGATGGCTTCTCAACCACACGCATCAGAACGGGATGCCCTCACCTCGCGCGTCCTCCCGTCCATGACGCTCGGGGAAGGCGACGACTCCAAATACACCATCAACAGGCCAGCCACGCACACGCACCCCCGAGACTCGGCGCAAGGCCGCTTCGCCGTCTCGGGAAACGCCATCGTCACAGGCGGCACCGGGGCCATTGGCCTCAAAACGGCACGGGCAATGCTCCAGCACGGCCTCGCGGGCCTCATGCTGCTGGATCTCAACGCCGACGCGTCTCAGCGAAGCATCCAGGAGCTCAGGGACGAGTTCCCAGGCGCCAAGATCGAAGCACTGCCCGTAGACGTCACCAACGAGGAGCACGTCTCCGCAGCCGTCGCGGAAACCGTCTCCCGCCTCGGATCGGTCGACGTGCTCGTGTGCTTTGCAGGCATCGTGGGCTGCGCGCACGCCCTCGACACGCCGGCATCCCAGTTCCGCAGGATCCTCGACGTCAACGCGACGGGCAGCTTTATATGCGCGCAGGCGGCGGCCCGGCAGATGGTGAGGCAGGGCACCGGCGGCAGGATCGTGCTCACGGCGTCTGTTTCCGCGCACAGGGTCAACTTTCCCCAGCCCCAGGCTGCGTACAATGCGAGCAAGGCGGCCGTCGTGATGCTCAAGAGCTCGCTGGCCGCCGAGTGGGCCAGGTATGGCATCACGGTGAACAGCGTGAGCCCGGGGTACATGGACACGGTTCTCAATGCTGGCGAGGGTCTGGCCGACGCGAGGAGGACGTGGTGCGAGCGCAACCCGTTGGGGAGGATGGGCTTGCCGGAGGAAGTCGCTGGAGTGGTGGTGATGCTGGTGAGCAGGGCGGGCTCGTACATGAATGGGGCGGATGTAATATGTGATGGCGGCGGTGTTGTATTCTAGATGATGGGGGAGCTACGGAACCCGAAAAAATACCAGACGTTTTTACTGCACAAGGTTGGTGTTTACGACGAAACATAAATGCATGCATGCACATGTGCTTGTGCTGGGGCTTGTGCTAGCATCGAAAACTGCATCGACTCAATCCGTTGCATTACTCAGTCACACGACCATTCATAAAACATCAACACAGAATCTATTCCAACACCACATGTCATGGTCAACCAATCCTCCCCTCCAAGAGTCGGCTTACCGCATTGGACATGCGCACCTTGACGCACACCGCAATGTTGCAAAGTATATGCATGTCGCCAGCGCCACATATCTCCTGCGCGCATTTCGCATCAACGTGACTGGTGAACCAGTTCGCATCTCATCCTAAAATGCGGCCCGGGAGGCTCTTTCGGTCCGGCCGACGAATCAGCGGCCCCACGTGGAAGCGAGCGGTTGCGTCGTTCGCCCGCAGACGGGACTTGTCGGGTCGACGGTGGCATCGATGCTTTTCATTCTTTGTCCACACAGGCCCTCCGTGAGCCGGGCGGCTGCCCAAAGTCTGCCGACATGCCAGTCCCTCGTCCCTCCTCGTTGGTCTCCTCCGTGCCCACCGTGCCCCCGGGCTTGACGAGTGAAGCGTCGCGGATCGGCAATGTGCCCTGGCGCCGAGTTGTCGACAGAACCCGTCTCTCCCAACTTGGCGGCGTGTTGCTACATCTGCTCAATGCAGGGAATCTGGTTGGATGGGCTTGTGACTACGGAGGAGGGGTCTTGGTGGAGGGCGCTTTTTGGTGAAGCCGTCTGCCGCGTCTGCTTTATAAAGTCCATGTTGCAATCTTGACAACTCCAACGGAACAGCGCCTCCTTGTGCTCTCAGTGCTCTCAGTGCTCTCTCTTCTTCCCTGTCCCCTCATCTATATCAAATGCACACAAGTCATAAAAGGCAGGCGCTTGCAACAATGGACAAGGGTTCGCTTCTGGCAGCTTCCAAGGTGGAGCCCCTGGTTTCCATCAACCCTCGCTCTACCGTCATCGGTCGTCTCTGGCCTGCTCTTGCTTTCGCCGTGCGATTCCAGTACATGATCAGCTCTTTTTCCTCCTTCCTGTACATCCAGACCTATTTCGTTGCGAGCCTCGCCGTGGTCAACGCCCTTTATGCAAGCCGTTTCCTCGCCATCCAGGCTTATATCGCGACCAGGTTTGGGGCCTTTCACGGTTTCAACATGTCCGCCAAGGCACTCGCAGATTTTTGGGATGCCAAAACAACACGGATGCTGAGGAAAAAACTCTTTTACGAGTTTGCTGTCTTTATCCTCGGAAGTGGAAACCCTATTATCCTATTACTGTTCTGGCCAGGGTGGCTGATAGTCGGCGGGGCTTCATTCGCATTGTGGCAGTTTTGGGGGTGAAGGCCGGAGCGAGCCACAATCAGGCATGATAATTATTAGCACGTCGAGCGTGGGAGAGATTTCACCCAGCACCTCCAACATACAAGACGGCATGGCCACTGTTGGTAGAAGCCTGGCGCACTGACTCTGGAACCGACCAATGATCCGATGTCGACGCCACAAGTCATTTGGAGAAAAAATACGTGTTGCCGCCGGTATCCTTGCGTATCTCGCTGGAGTAGTCCTTCTCCGGGTCAAACTCCTGCCAAGTGCTAGCAGGGTAGATGTGCTTATTTCTCTCATACCACCGACGATCCACCACCTTTGTCCTCGTTGGGTCTTCCGAAGCCCCTTCGAGGGCATCGATGCTCGCCAAAGACTTCGCCGCGGCTGCCCGTGACGCAGCCGTGCTGAGATGGTTTTCACTAGACGGACTAGACTGGTCCATCGCAGTCTCCTTTCCCACAGGTGCCTCGGAACTATAGTCAAATAGTCGACGGCCCCCGGGCCCAGTGGTCTTGTTCATCACAAAGAAGTGAAAATCGTAGTGCTAGATAATGTCCAAGTCAGCTGTGAGTAGGATGATGGACTGGGAAAATATAGAACGTACATGTGGAATGATAACGGTATCTCTTACGAGCATCAAGTCATCAACACCAACACGTGCCCACGCCCGCCGCGCATTGCTTTGGTCTCCAACACCCAATTCGGCACCGACTTTGCGACTCTTGTCCAGGAACACCCACACAAAGTCTCCCTTCTTCATTCGCACGGTCCCCCCTTGCGTATTGGCTCCATCGTAGAAAACGAAGGGGACCGCAATCTCGGTGGCCTTGACAGCTTCCTGGACCGCCACGAATTCTCGCCGCAAGGCCTCTCGCTCGGTAGCCTCTTTCCGCAGGGCTGCTTTCGTGACGGCTTTTGGCACGATGCCCACGCTCGCATTCGCCTTGAATTTTATCCTGCCCGTGTCGCTATCGCGGTCCGTATCCGAGTCCTTCGGCTTGCTCCTGGAATCAGGGTTGCTGCTAGCCTCGCTGTCGCCGTCTTCCTCGTCGTCAAAGGACAGCAGCTTCTTGCCTTGCTTCTTCTTCTTCTTCGGCGGTCGTACGCCTAGCCCGCTGTTCGAGTCACTGCCGGCGTTGTCAGGGGTGCCTGTCAAAGAACGGTCCGGTGTGGACGTGCCTGAGATGGCAGCCTCGCGAGCCTCGCGCTCCTGCTGCTCGAGCACCTCTGCTCGCCGTTTGCGAAAGTCGGATAGCGCGACGAGACCAACGGTGTTTGTTGACAGACGCTCGTGCGTCGTCCTGTTTTGCGGCGTGAACCGCGAGTTTCCTTGGTCAGACATGGCGGCGTGGCAGCCGTTGGCTTGTATGTCATGAGGTTGCGCAAAGCAAGTTCCACCACGGTGTGGTTGAGGCGTCAAGGCAATGTCCGCCTCGGAGTGCGAAATGTCTCTTTGCACTGTACACTTTGCTGGTTTCTGCTCATGTGTCACCGTGTGTAGAAGCTACCCTGTACCCGTTGTGGATTGGGGCATTACAAGTTCCACGAAGGAGCTTAGCTAAGAGGACTTTGTCATGATGGCGGGTTTATTGAAATGGTAATTGACCGTGTCATTTTGCATAGTTCATAGTTAAGTCTGAGTACTAAGTACACATGATCGCGTCTGGGCAAAAAGTGCAGGATACTCCTCCCCGGACGAATATCAAAGTAAAAGCCAAGGATCATAGAAACGGGCCTCGGCAAGACCTTTGATATTCCGCGTATATTATTTGGAAGCCACATTGCATCCCCCCAACGCGATCCAAGATGCACAAGAGTTGAGCCACCTCAATTTTATGGCAACCTCTGTCCTTGTCTTGTGGCCTGCCCGACGAGCGAATTTGTGGTATCATCCGCGTAGCGTTTGTAAGCTATAATATATCGTTCATCAGCGCTCCAAGTGTCCTTGACGCTCTGTCGGTCAACAATGGCATGGTACCACTTGAACCAGCGTTGCCAGATGGCATCTCCATCAGCTTGTGGAATAGCTAGTCCGCCGGACTTGTAGTGATCAAGCAACCACAGTCGTTTTGCCCAAGGGGCCAGGCTAATGTCGACTAAACTTAGGTGCTCGCCCAAAAACCATGGCCCATCAGGATCCATTTCCTCTGTCAGGGTGCGTATATGGCTGTGAAACTCTGCCCGAGCCTGCTCGATGCTATATGGCTTCTCCGGGGTATGCTGTAGAAAGCGGTAGAAGGCTGGGACGATTCTTGTGCCAACATGGTCGATCCACAGCCGGGCGCGGGCACGCTCGTAGGGATCTGACGGAAGCAAACGACGGCCGTGCTTGGCTTCATCCGAGTACGCGTCCTCCAGGAATTCACAGATGACCAGACTTTCATATAGTGGTTTGTGGCTCTCTCCCTCTGGCCCGGTGGGAACAGCCAGTGTTGGCACCAGGCCGCGAGGGTTCATGGCCAGAAAGTCGGCTTCTTTCTTATAGGGGTTGATTTCAATGTACTGATGTGGAATTTGCTTCTCACACAATGTGATCCAAGCCCGCTGAACGAAAGGGCAGAACCATCCGCCGTACAGCTTGAGTGCATGTTCAGAGGCATGGCGGGAGGCCAACTCGGCAGCCGCGCCCGATGGCTCCGGCGGAAGTGAGGTATCGACGTTGGCCATGTTCGGGGAATCAAACGGGTTGATGCTCACAGAGGTGGGAGGTGAGAAATCGATGGATACCGAAGGGATGATGCATCCGTTTGCATGACGTGATGTTATCAAGCATCAAACCCCGCCTCCCCACACATAGCTGTCAACGGGTAGTTTCATGCAAACGGAGGCGCGGACAGGCGCCATAGTTTCCCAAGGCTGAACATGAGTAGAAAACCAGTACGTTTGGACCACTCATGGCGCTCGTCTCGGCGTGTACTTGAGGCTGTCATCATTCGACACCTTGACAGGTGTTGTAACTTGTAAGGAGTCACGTTATCCAACGTCACCCAGCCAACACAAGCGAGATTGTTGTAACCCCTTGACGGGCCATACAGACATCTTTATTCATTAGAATTCATCATCAATAATCCCCTCTCAACACCACCAGATAAACGATCCTGAGCGTAGGAACGAATCTACCACGTACTTTTGAGTGAAATGTGAAAAGAAGGTGAAATTAGTCAAGGATTTTTCCTATCCCAAGCTTGCAAACACGTTTGATGCAAACATGTTTGATTCACAGCCTGTACATGTAGCCTGTAGCCAAGTTCACCGCCTGTCCCAGTGTTATTGCATAAAGTCGAGAGCTTCACACACACCTACCTGGCGAAGAAATTTACTACAACATTTGCTAGATGAAGCTGCCAATCTTCCTTCATCTCAACCAGTGTTCTGCCCAAGAAACCTGTGCCATCGGTGCACGCACATCAAAATCCACAAGTCTTGCGTATACACAGAATGGACGGGACGAATGATTCCAGCTTGCTAAAGAAGCATATTGCTTTGATTCAAGCTGATACCAAGAGCTTAGAAGAAAGTGAGGTGAGTGGCACGCCCATCTTCACCGAGTCTGTGAGACAACATGGCAACAATGCGTCCACCTTGAATGGGGAAGTATTTACTCAGTATGGATTATTGGGAGGGGATGTCACAAAGCTCCACGCAAGCAAGGACATGGAGCTGGACATTGAAAACGACCCGAGAGTTTTCTACAACATCAAAGCCCCCTCGAGCGTCTTCATTTGCGGCAGCCAGGGCTCGGGGAAGAGTCATACCCTGAGCTGCTTGCTTGAGAATTGTCTCATACCCACGGATGCAAATACCCTGCCGAGACCTCTCACCGGCATATTGTTTCACTACGATCCATTCTTTTCGGATAACAGAGGCCAACGCTGCGAAGCCGCCTCCATCTCTTCGCACGCGGGTGTGAAAGTCCGTGTCTTGTGCCCCCCGACAAACGTGGGACAAATCAAAGTAAGTGAGAAATACAACTTCACCAAAGAGAGGCCACAGAAGTTGTATTCTAATCACGCGTAGAAACTGTATAAATCGCTGCCAAATGTTGAAGTTGAGGAGCTGCGAATCAGCCAGCGAGACCTGAACACCAAACGAATGCTGGATCTTATGGCAGTCAGCTCCATCCAAGGAGGAACTATGCCACTGTATCTGCATATCGTGACTCGCATCCTGAGAGAACTCAGGGTCCAGCAACAGAAAAAAGGCGGCCACTTTAATTACAGAGCTTTCCGAAAGGCCATTGCGGCAGCAGAACTCAGCCCAGGGCAGTCTGGACCTCTGGAACAGAGACTCGACACTCTGGAAAGTTTCATGGCAGAGGAAGACGTTGCTGAAAGCAAAATCCCCGGGTTTACCTCTTACAAGCCCAAGGGCAAGCAGTCCATGTTTGATCCCAACGAGTTCACAAGCACAGCCACCACATGGGAACCAAAGGTAGGCCATGACGTTGCCGGCATGAAAAAGGACCATCTCACACTAACTACGATACGTATTCCTAGGCCGGGCAGTTGACAATTGTCGACTTGTCCTGTCCCTGCGTCACCGCCGAGTCTGCGTGCTCGCTGTTCAACATCTGCCTAAACTTGTTCCTGGAGCAGCCCTCGGACGACATTGGACGAGTGATTGCCCTCGACGAAGCCCACAAGTACATGACGGAAAGCGCGGAGAGCCAAACCCTCACCGACTCGCTCTTGTCCACCATTCGCCTCCAGAGGCATCTCGGCGCGCGTATAGTCATTGCGACGCAGGAGCCGACCATTTCCCCGAAGCTCCTGGACCTCTGCTCGGTGACGGTTGTGCACCGCTTCACGTCGCCGAATTGGCTGGACAGCCTGAAGAACCACCTGGCAGGGGCGACGGCAGGCTGGAAAACCGCCACAGAGGGAGAAGGGGAGTCTGGGAAGAGCAGCGCAGAGAGCATGGCTGAGCTCCTGAGCCGCATCGTCTCACTTCGTCAGGGGGAGGCTCTGTTGTTCTGCCCTAGTGGTATCGTTGGTGTCAAGACGCCTAAAAGGACT